TTGAATACCAGAAAAATAATAAAAATCTTTTTTATTTTTTTTTCCTTCTTTTTTTAATTCAGTTTTATTTGGATTTTATTCTTTTTTTTTTTTTGCAAAAAGGTGTTCATCAGATTTTGTAAAATCTGGATGTTTAAACATTTTTTTGCAAAAAGGTGTTCATCTGATTTTGTAAAATCTGGATGTTTAAACATTTTTTTGCAAATGGAACTATCAATATTCCAAACTTACTAAGATATGCCAATAGTATTTATATTTCAAAAAAAATTGGGTTATTTATTGTAATTCTTTAATTTGTAATAAATTAATAGGTGAAATTGAAAAACAGGTATCGTTATTGTGATTAGAATTCATTTCACCTGATGAAGGGGAAAGATTACCTTTATTTTTTGATGATGATAATCTTGAAATCAGAGATCCTTATGATCTTCAACATGTCAATAATAAAACTATTTCGTATCTATGTTATGAACTTTTATATGAAGAAATTTTAACAAAATCAAATGTGCAAAAAGCAGAAATTAAATCATTGATAGATGAAAAAATATTTTATGTATTAGATAGATTTTTATGGGATCAGAAGATTTCTAAAAAGCAATGGATCAAATATTTACGAAAAAAATTAAATGACTATAATAAGTTAAAAGCTTTACCTACAAAGTTCCAAATAGATGTTTTTTGTCAAAAATTTAGAACGAACGATGTTGAATCATGCGTTGGATCATATGTTGGATCGCTAGTGATGTGGAAAGTAAGCACTGAAAGAGTAATACAAGCTTTTTGGAAAAACTTCTATTCGAATACATGGGAATTCATAGATAGCATAGAACCAAATGACCAGTTTAAACTTTCATCAAAGGACAGCGAATTTATGTTTAACTTTTATATACTTGGTTGTAATTTATTGTATAATGAAGATTAGTAATAATTACGCATTTTGGATTATTCATATGGTCCATTTGGCAGAAATATAAAAAAATTAGATTACGATATTATATAGCTGCAGATGAATACATTGAAAAAATACAAAAATATGAAAAAAGGTTATTGCCAGCACCAAATTTTGATTTTATTATAATTAATTGCGAACAATTACACGTAAAAGGGAGATATTTTTTTAAAGAGTTATTAGATGATTATATTGAAGATAGCGTATTAATAAAATTATATGGACAAGAACTTCTAAAGTGTTGTTTAAAATCTAAAAATTATTCAATAGCAGAAAGATTATATAATAGAATTTTTAAAAAAACAGCAAATGATAACTTTTTAGTAAAGATTAAATTGTTGGATATTCTTACCTTTTCATTTATAGAATTAACTCAATTTCGAAAGAATTTTTATCATATACTTTATTTATTCATTCAGCTAGTAACGCTGAAGAAATTAAACTTATTAAGTTCTTGTCGGAATCACATCTTCAAAGTTATATAAAATATACACAACCTTTTTTTATTAACAATATAAAAGAAAATTTTATTTTTTTTAGCACTTTAAAAAAATTTTTTAAAAAAATTATTTCTTTTATATTTATGCCATTAATGGCATTAATATCTCATTTACCCATCTTTTTATACACAGATATTTTTATAAATTTATACATAAAAATTCTATCACTATTAGTAATTATTTTAGTTAAAATTAAAGTTATAAATGAAGAAATAGAGGATTTTTTTTATAAAAGTTTCAAACCGTAATCTTAATTTTTCCATTACCAAAGTTTAATTCTTATAATAGCAATTATAGTTTTTGGAAAGAATTAATTTTTCCTAGTTCTAGCGTTTTTTCTAAACATCAATTTCCTGAATTATATAAATATTGGCATGGCGAAGCTCTTCTTAGTTTCAAGTGGAACGCCTATGGAAAATAATATTTTTTTGTTATTTTTATTTTATTTTTATGTTTTGTTTTCTAATCGTTGCTACGATAAAAGAATTATCGAATAATACTCAACATTTATTATTAATTTCAACTATTGTTCTTGGAATTTTACATCTTACTTTGAAATACGACAATTTATATATTCTCCTCTGTCCTGGATTACAGATATTGGAATTATTTTGGTAATTAAAATTTAATTTTTATTTAATAATTATAAAATTATCAATATTCTTATATATACGTATAATTAATAATAATATTTAAATATATTTTTGAAGATATAGGTGCAATATTATTTCCTGTATTAACTTCTATCGATTGGTTACAATCTTCTGCGACACCAATTTGGGCTGTTACAATTTCCATATTATTACTTGAACTTAAATTTCTAACATTTTTTCGAGCTATTGAATTTGGTGGAACTCATTGGGCAATGATTATTGGAGTTATACAAAATTCTTTATCTTTTTTTGTAATAATTGGTTTTATTATGTTCGCTTTTGCACACTCTTTACATATTTTATTAAGGCCAACAACTGATGTTTCAAATAATCTTAATAATTCAGAAGAATTAAATACAAATATGTTTGCCAATTTAGATACAGCCTATTTGGCTGTATATATGATGTTAACACGTATTTTTTAATTGTTCTCTTCTAATAAGAATTATGCTTATTTCTAATTATCTAACTATTTATAGGCGATTCGTCTTATGTGTCTAATTGGTCATTAACTGAAAATTTGACACTAACAGTTTTGATGGTTCTTTTTTCTTTTTTTACAATCATCTATTTAATGAACTTGTTTATTGGATTATTGTCTAATTCTATTAGCGAAACAAATAAAAAAGAATTATTTTTACTCCAAAGAGCAAAGGTCATATATTATTAAGATATTTGTTTAATAATTTTATTTTTAAAATCATAATCATTGCTTTATTCATTTTTTTTCTTTAACAGATTTTGTCAGAAATAGAACTATTTTATATGCTACCATATCAACGTAGAAAAAATAATTTGTTTCCTGAAATCATGTAAAGATTTAATTCATTGTAATTTATTGCAAAAGATTTGTTAATTTACATAATTTTAACATTAATTAATATTTATAGATTTTACAGTTTTAGTATTGATAAACTTTATGATATAGTCACTACAATACAAAATAATAATTGGGATGGTACTATTGAAAAACCATTTATTCCTAATACATTACTAAAAATAATAGATAAAGACGAAGCAAAAGATAAAGACAATTTATTTCAAAAATTAAGAAAAATCGAAGAAAAGGTTCAAGAATTGACAGATAATGAAATGAGATGATTCAAAAATTAGAAGATAGTGAAAATAAGATAATTCAGAAATTACAAGATAATGAAAAGATAATTCAAGAACTAAAGAAATTTTTGTTGAAAGAGATAGATTAGATATTTAAATTATTTATTATGGTATAAACACTCTTTGTATAGCGTGCAAGATTGTATTCGAAGCATGTATTTTTATGAGACAATTTTAATAGTTACAAATATAGAATTTTTTGGTATAAAAAATTTTGATCCCATTTGCTAGAACGAGGTGAAAGCCTTTCGAGCCTTATTTCGCCGAATTGCAAGAATGTTTGTACCTGATTCAAATGGTTCTTATTTAAAAAATGGACTTAAACAACTACCGCTACCATTTGGTATTGTCTAACCAATTTTGAGATTTGTAATTCAAGTAAAATCTTGGTTCTTGTTTATACATTGCAACTTTATCTTAATAAATATCATCACTTCGCGAATTGAATTCGTTATAACACAGATATAAATCGCATTTTTCTTTTATCAGGTTGGGAAATCAAATTTTGAACCTGAATTTGGTTCAATTGTTAGATATCGAATCTTAATTTAAAATAAAGTTGTTGGCTCTTAATAAAATGTACTACATATAACTAACGTTTCAAATTTAGGTATGATACAGCTTTTAAAGTTTTATTTTGATGTTTTTTTTGATGTTTTAATGCATTTGCACGCAAACTTAACAAATGGTTCATATTCTTTTTCAAAGGTAAATTCGTGCAATTAGTAGTCAACGTTTATTAAATACCAATCCAATATTAATACAAATCATTGTTAGCTTCTGTAATGCTCGTTATATAATCTGTAACTTCCAATTCAGTTGGGCAAGTTTTGGTTTTTCAATTTTTTTAATTTCTTCGGGCTCCAATCCAGTCTAGAATATTAAAAATAAATAAGCCGTAAATATATGATATTGCCAGAAATAAAAGACAAAATTTTATGTCACTATCCAGAAACAAACCTCAATAACGGGTAAATTATTTGTCGGTGTATCAAATATTTCATCAAGGTCATTTTTAATTCTTTCTTCTAAATCACCAAACAGAATTTGAATTTGTTGTGCTCGTTTAATATATCCCAATGTCACAAGGCAATTTAATAGGTTTGATATCTCCGCTAAATAAATATTAATCGACTATTTAACAATTCAAATCTAAAAATTGAATAATAGCATAATATTTTTAATTGGATTTAATATACCTTGAGTTGTATTAAACCTTCCAATCAATCTTTTCAAAGAGTCAATAAGGTATTCTTCTTCGTATATACTTCCTTTTTTGCCACGGGCTTTCTTTCTTTCTTGCCGTCTACGACTTTTCGCACTTTTGCTGTAAACGTTTGTACAAAATGAAATATTTATAGTTATGAGTATAATTTGAGTATTTACAAGATATGCTGATAGGCGTATTCATAATAATACTAACCCACTTCTTGATGAATGTATACTTAGTTGAGTATTTGATTGTGAATAACGTGTAAATCCACTAGCCATAGAGCTTGTGTCTGAAAATACATCAACATTTTCAATTGATTCTTCGGTTTGATCTAGGTCTGAAACTGCATTGATAACAAAGTGAATTAAAATATCCATATATTAGATCTGCAAAACAGTTTAAATACTTACTCAGTTGGTTAGCTTTATTAGCTCTAATTTCTTTTAACCTTTTTGTTTGCTGATTTAATTGATCTAACATTGAATTCACATCTTGAAGCAGCTGAGTATGACCTATATTAAATGTCATAGCATATGCAATGTTTAAAGTGGTGAAAAGGTTGTAAATAATGTATGATTGTTTATACCTTCAATTACACTTGGCTTAACGTTAGTTTCAATCAAATCTGTTCTATTATACATATAGGACTATACAAATAAACAAATATTAAAATCAGTTAAAATATAAAGCGTTACGAATAACTATTCCTAAGGGTTCATTATAACCATGATAGTAGATAGCTTATTTAGAAATCGATCAAGATAAAGAATTTAACATAATATACTTACTATACGTATTGACTCTGCCCAGTGATGACCCTTGTTCAACAAAATAATCGATTCTTCTGGTTGCTGGTCATATTTTAAATATTAGTAAAAGCAATTAATCTAAAGACAAGAAAGCTTCTCAATGTTAACATTGTACTCACCTTAGTATAATCCAACATTATTTGTGCAGCATCTTTGTATTGATGTTTATCCGAAAGTGTTTCTAACAATGGTAGAATACATTTATATATATTCTGCTACAGAACAAGGTAGTTTAGTGGAAGCAAAGTAGTTGAGGAGTAACAAACCTGCAAGACTTTTGGCCAAACTAAATAAAGAATCTGAAGAACTATTCAATTCTTGAGCAATAGCAAAAGCTTCGCGCCATGACCCACAATTTTTATATGAATCAAGTGCTTTCGGTTTGTCACCAGCAAGTATATACGCTTCAACAATGAAATTTCCATATAAGTAATAAAAGAATTTACGAATAAATGAAGATCTGAACATTAATCATACCTAAGCCAGCCTCTTTGAAGTTTGATTCCGTAAACAAATAATCCCCATAAATGGCCATGACACTCTTAAAGTTATTACAAAATTAATATGACAATTGAAATAAACAAAAGTGTATAACAAAAAAATATATACTTTATATTTTTCATTATTATTTGCAAATATTGATATTGCAGAATAATATAGTTCATGTTCACGAATATATTTTAAGCAATCATCAAAATATTCATCTCCTAATGTCAATGTTATTGATGTGAAAATAATGTATCTAAAGTAGCCATCTATTTGAAACTACTATTTTAGATATCCGAAGTGGCACCTGACTTAAATTGTGTTCCTGAAATTAGGTCTTAATGCGTGCATAGAGTAGTAATTTTAGTCAGGTGCTACTTTAGATATCTAAAGTAGTAACTCCAGACAAATGGTTATTTCAGATACAAAAAAATCATATTAAATGTTAATTAACAAGCCAAACACCATATGTTAATTTAAACCGAATTATTCATCACATTACCTGCAAGACTTAGATTTCGTAATGCTTTTACATAACGACAAAGGTGGTTATCAATTTTAAATTGTTGATAGTATTTTGGATAGCTCTCAAGCTCCGTTAAGAAAGGTAAATATTCTCTAGGATCCTATATAACATATCTCAATCAATGACATTGTCAATTAACAAACATCTAAGAGTAACAAAGAATACCTTTTGTGACTGTTGAGCAACCATAAGAACAAGACTGAAATCATACATTCCCAAAGCGACATCAAAAAGTCGATCCGCATCGACCAAAAAAATTGCAAATTTGATCGCATCCTCTGCTAAATCCATATCTTGATCTGTTATAATGTAAATGGTTGGTGCTTGTGGATGAGATGAACAGAAATCAAAAAATAAATCTCACTAGCCTTTTAATTTTGCTAGTAAATTCAATGCGGATTCCAAATAAGGCGGTGTTTTTCTAACATACGATGTTATTATCGATTGAAGGTATGTTTTTGTGTCCATAGATTCTAATACTGCACGTACAGCATCACACACAGTGTTAACTTTTGTGGACACGTCATGTGAACTAAGATGTCACATAAGAATATAAACATAACTTCAGATACATAATCAAAAAGTCGTGAAAACGAAAAAATCAATATTTAAAATATTTAATTACTTTGAAGAGAAGGAAGATTTAGAACCATTTTCAATTTGAGGATACATTGTCATAGTTACATCCTCATTCCTAATAACATCAATTTATGGAACACAGCAAGTTGTAGAATAAAATAATTGACTTTAATGATGATTGCACTTTTTACAAAGAAATTGTACCTTAGACTTGACAAAAACAAATTCAAATAATCAACTTTTTTGATTTGAGTGACAAAATATTGTACATTTTTCAAGAATAAATCAGGATTATGATCATGTAGTATATTTAAATCAATTCGATGTTTTCGACATGCTTTGTAGGCCGATAAAAAATCACATCTGTGCAATAAAACAGCATCAAAGTGAACATTTAAGTATAATGAAACTTAATAGCATGAAACAGGCAAACCATTTATTCATACTTATTCAAGAAATCTCGGACTGATGCTAAGACCAAAGCGCGTGGATAAATTGTTTCCAAGTTTCCTCTTGGCATCTAAATTGGATTACATGCTTGATGTTAAAGAGGCCCGAACGCGATATGTATTTAGTAATTAACTATCTTACCTGTAACACCAAAAATACATCGTAATATGCAGCACATACAATTTTGGATCCTCTTTCAACTCTTCTTATAGTTTCATCGTATGGTTGAATCACATTATCAAGAACTTTTAGATCTAATTCATATATAAATGATAATTATAAATCTTTCTGAATTATTTAAGATATTTGATATTGAAAAATTTACCTAGCAAATTAGCATGAAGAGGTAAAAATCTCACGACGTGACTCAATGTGGTAAAAATTATGAAGTCATTATGAATGAAAAATGAAGTGCAGTCTGCAGTAATCAACCTTTCATTAACATATAACTTATTATGCTCGCTCAATCCTACTACAAAGGTCTATAAATAAACGATAGTTAATTATAATTAAAACAAACTTGCACCTATACAGAAGCTTAATTCTGACAATTTTATACCTTTTTGTTTTTTTCTGACTCGACTTGTACAGTGCCAATCCAGTTACAAACTTCGGGAAGAGAAACAATAGGTGTTTTTGAAACAAAAAAATGTTCAGTATTATTTGGATCATTGTGGTCAATGATGACTGTAATAAGATTAGCAAAAAGAGGAATTAATGTCAAAAATAGACAAGCTGTTAAAGTTTTAGAAAAAGCAATACGAATAATTACCTTTGTGAATTGAACCTTCATTAGTCTCACAAAAAATTATGCCATAAGTTGGATTGTAATGCAACCTTCGCAAAAAATTTGTAAAATGAGTAGTGCTCTCAAATAATTTTTTTTGAATTTGCCCATTATCATCAAATTCTACTATTATTTGAGTAATGCTATCAGATTGATTGTTTGAATGACAATGCAAGCAAAATAACGTTGTCTTGTTAATCCAAGCAATTTGCCTTATGGATCCTTTATATGGACTTTCAATTTTGTCCCTAGACAGACGTGTAAAAAATGTATGTGTTAGAAGTTAAAATGTTATATGATAGATGGCAATAAAAACATAAATAAAATATAATTACATATGAATAATCCCTAATAACTTTGGAGGTTTTGGAGGGGTATTCATTACTTCAGGCCATTCGAAAAATGAGATTTCCTGATTAGCTTTAAGAACGGCAAAGTCATTACCGCCATTATTGGGTGAAAATGATACATGTACAGCAGGAGAATCAAGTTGAATCGAAGAAGCAAACATCGGGGGAGGGATATTCATTATTCGAAATGGTGTAAGATAAATTGAGCCTATAATGACAAACGAGTTAAAGGTTTAAAAATGTATGTGTACAAGACACTAAAGAATGTCTAATTAAGAAATAAAGGATACATCCATCAATGACAGCAACAGTAGCGGCATTATTTGCAGAAATAGTATTTGCGAACAAGTTGTCCCAAGAAAATTCAAGTCGGAAATAGCTACCTATTAACAATCAAGCGATCTAAATTAAAAAATATTTTAAGTAAAAATAAAAAGTAAAAACATAGTTCAACATTACTATCAGTTGTATAATGTAGTATCAATGCAATTTCTGGGTCCCAAGAAATACTTGTAATTGATTCAGTTGAAGGTGGCAAAATTTCTTGTTTCAAATACCAATGATAATTATTCATGTACCATAATTGAACTTGTGTATTGAAATAATAATAAGATACATGAATATATTAACAAAATAGCAAAAAAACATTATTAAACGTGTACCACATGAAGACACATCATTCAATATTTCTCTCTCCAACCATATGGCCAATACAGTAGAATCACAATTCCATAAAATTTCGATTATCTGTAAAAAAAAAACTGCAGCATTAATTATCTCAAATATAACTATAAATATATTGTGCTCTTTAATATATACTTTATGTTTCTTAATTTCGCGCAAAGAAAATTCACCATGTCGCAATCCGTTTTTTTCAAAAAAACATATTTCGTGTTTATCAATTGATTTTTGACTTGAGGCTATTAAATTACCTGCCGGTCTAAACAAATGTTATTAAATATATAGAAATCGTAAAGTAAGATAAAGACAATATCTATATACCTCCATGAAAGAATATGTTCTAGATTATCGACAGGTTCACTGGTAGATTGCAATATTCCTTCCCTGTTGTAAACACGGATTACTCGAAGCCCTAACATTATTATATAAATTGAATAATTTATAGGTTTGTAAAATCAGTCGAACCGTTTATAATCACCTTTGCCTTTGTTATGATCGATAACAGAGCAGCAAAACATGCTACCATCACCACACCAAGAAACGCGCGGATGGAAGTCATCATCTTCCGATCGGGTAAAATTAGATGTATCAACTACTTTTTGAGCTGCAGTTTTTCCTTCTGATCCATGGAACTGTGTTTCTTTTTTACCCCATCCGACACTTATGCTAACAGCTAAACAAAATGTTATCTTAAAAAAGAATCATGGTATATTGAAATTAAAGCGTGCAAAGATTTGCTTACCTTCGCCCAATTCCTCAACATTAATGGGAAATTCCGTTATTACGTCAAAATCTTTAGTCATTTCTAGTATTGTATCATTCCCTGAAGTACAAAACTTGTTAAAATAATGAATAGCGCAATCGGATTAAAAGGATATCTTATCTTACCAGTAACGAAGATGACTAATTCTTCATCTGGGCTCCATTCCATACACCTAATTCCTGATTCTATATATCCGACAACTTCGACCTATAATCATTAGATATAAATAACATCACCAATTCCGTATGAACAGTTAAAAATATAGGTCGGATCCTTTGAATATCTTCATAACGATTCAGTGAACTTCACGATTTTAGTCATCCACGAATAACATGCAGATATCCAGATGTTGTACGGATGACTATGAGAACATTCATTGAATACAATTCTAACTATACAAAATTTACATTATACCTGCTTCTGATTTTTATTGGCTGCGAGTAGTCACGTGTGCATTAAATTGATCCTACGTAGATTATCCACAAATTTGGTGTAATCGAATATTGGGAATTTCGTTCGCTTAATTGGATATTCGTTTTTAACCGTGAATATTCACGGATCCGACCTCTAACTTAAAGGACCTTACCATCTCTTCACCGTCCTGCGTTGCATCTAAATGGACAAGAACTATATCACCATTACCGAAGGCTACGCATATCGATTGAATATCCACCAAAAACTTTAGTTCTTTAACAATCTCATCCAGATCATTAGAAGAACCGCCATTTGGGAAGAATATAATGGAAGAAACTTCAAAATTCTGAGTCTATCTTTCAAAAAGTTAAAATAAAGTAAATCCTAGAAAAAACTACGGATGAAAATTGAATAAGTTATTAAAAATAATTTGATTTGAATTAGCATATCACCTGTACTAAAGAACATTTAACAAGCTCGAACTTAGACTCTGAAAAGCGAACAAGATAAATGTCACCATTTTCCGGATTAACTGTATGTCGAATATTTTTTAGTCTAGGATTAGAATTGCCAAAAGAGGCTGTGAATTGCGAAAGTAAAGTTAAACTCTTCATCTATTGAGAGAATCAAAGGAAGAACTGCGTTCATCATATAAAATCCAGACTAATCAGTTTTATGACGATTATTTCCCCGAATATAGTAACCGATCTGCAAGGTCACATTCCTCCAATAGGAGAGCCATAATTTCAGTTACAGCGGAACACCATGGACGTTATTTCGAATATCGGCCCGAATTAAGCTTAATTCGGGCCAAAATTCGAAATAATATTTTTGTTATATACTACATTTACATTTTTGACTTAACGTTAAGGTGTTTATATAAATCTTTAATTCAATATTATTACCAAGTAATTTACATTTTATCAATATATTGACATGAACATGGTTCAAACAAGAATTTAATTACGTACGTACATATTAATGTATTATTTTTTTTCGCTGCTGCTTCCTTTTTTCTTTTGAAGCCTCTTTAATTTTTTGGCAGAATACTTGATAATAGTTATGGTTAGATTACTTTCTTTAAAGTGTAAAATATTTCCAAAGATTCAACTTACAAAAGAAGCTAACTTCTCAAGTCTCTCCTTTTCTTCTAAAGCCTGTTTCCTTTTTAGGGCAATCTCACGTTTTCGCTTTAATGGTAAAAATTAAATTTGATTATGCTATCTGATTTTAAATTATTAGTCCAGATCAGAGTATTCATTCACCTTTTTCTCGGACGCGACCTCGTCTTTTAGTTTCTGTTCTAAAAGTTTCATAGCTTCTTTTTCCTGTCGTTCTTTTAAACGATCGTCCCAGCTCTTACGCAAATTACGGGGAAGTTGTGAACGACGAGTGGCAGTTTTTGGACGTTTCCATGATTTACCTTTAAATCATTGAAATATTGAATATTATTACTCAAAGCTATACTTTAAGGCTACAAGAACAATATAAAGTACAACCTGAGACTCTACGCTCTATTTTTTGAGTACTTAGCGTAGGTTTTGGGGAAGGAATAGTGTAGGAATCAGTTGGCATATTTATTGTAGAATTAGTGTTTTCTTCCATTATTTCGTCCATTCCAAGTACAGAAAGTATGGAACGAAATTAGTCGATTATCGTTGACCAATAAATGCAAATGTTGCACAACCTATTATAAAGATTGTCGCTATGATGGGGCGAAGTAAATTAATCTATATTTAAAGTTTATTAAAAAAATTTTTTTTTATATAGTGTTGAGTCAGTAGAAATCAAGCAAATTTTTTCTAAGTAAATTTTATTAAAACTTTGAATAACAATGACTTAATAAAAAAAAATTTAAAGGAATTCTACAAACTTATAGAATTTATTTAAAAAATTTTTTATTAAAGTTTTTGTTGAGGTATTAACATTTAAAGTTTTTAAAAAAATTCAATAAAAACCAATTTGCTTGACTCAACCCTATATGGTTAGTTGCTTTCTTGATGTATTAATTAAAATACCCTGATCATTATATCAAGATCACGGGTAGTGTTGTTAGGCGAAACTTAGAGGTTTCGCAAAAGGCGAAAGCCGAAACTAGTTTCAACTTTCGTCAAAAAAATTGAAAATGGCGAAATAACGAAACTGGCGAAACTGTTGAAACTACTAAAAGATGAAAAATAATAAAATTAGTTAAGATAAAAAATTAATAAAATAAGTACTAATAGAAAGATTTATTTTTTTATTTCTATATAAGATAAAAAAGGAAGTATTATAATGTATGACCAATTACAGAAAGCAGAAATAAATAATTTTATTATTATTTGATTTATCAAAATGAATCAAATAGAAATAAAATAATTTAATTTTAGTTACTAAATTATAAAATATTATTGTTTAAATAATCAATTTTTTTATTAATAATTTTTAATAAAACAATTTTATTTATTTTCAAATTTTTATAAAAATTTAATAATTTTTTATTAAGAGTGTGACAACTTAGTGAAGTGAACAAGTTGTCACTTCTTCAAGTAGCAAATTGGGAGTTCAAAACCTGCTGATGATAAAAATTTGAATTTTTATCTGTGTTATAATAATTGTTTCTAATAATTAGGTTAAAATACCTGATTATATTAGTATAACTAACTGGAACATTTGTATAAATAGTTATACAAAAAAATGCAAACTAGTATTATGTAGTACAAACTTAAGATAAGTTCTTATGATTATGTAAATTCATAAAAATTAAAAAACAAGAAACTTATTTGAAAAGATCTAAACAAAAAGCTAATACAAATTTTTGATAGTCTACTATAAAAACTAGATCTAAAAAATAAATGCTAATATTAAGAGTTAAATAAACAAAAATCTTAGATGAAAAATACTACTAACTAGATTGCTGAAATTAGACTAAAAAAAATAAATATTAAACTAAGTTAATATATCAAAAAACAAATTACAGTTTTACTGGATTATCTAGATTGGAAGTTCAAAGACAGATATAGAAATTTGCTAAAGTACTAAAAATATTGTAATAAAATTTACTAAAAACTAGTAAGCTATAGTAATTTTTAATAGCATGAGTGCTGAGTAAAAAATCTTTTATTTAAAGAAAAATAAAATAATAAAAATAAACAAAAATAAGAAATAAATATATAAAAGTAAAATTTAAATTCAATAGTCTTCTAAGCACTATAAG